CCAACTTGTGCCACCCCAGGTTAAAAGGTCTGGACACGCACCTGGGACACATTCCGCCCAGATACAGCACTGAATTATGGTCCATGTGTGTGCCAGATCTGGTAGCCACTTATGGCCCATGACATAGCCATATCCATATGACCATAGCCAGCCATATTCTGGCTAATGTTCATTCCCGAGGTTGGACCAGACCCTTCCAGCACTAAACCTTCGACTTAACACTTGTAACCATTGTCAGAAAAAAAAGAATAAGAAGAGTAAATCTTGAGTATGTTTTTTTCCATTTCCATCAACCTTTTCTAATACAATACTTCAAAATGAGTCTAAAAATTTGTGGCTCTTTGAATTGTTGTGACTAAAATGAAGTCTCACTGGTAAATCAACATCTGCCTCAGAGCTGTTTCAAAACATGTTTGTGTGTGTGTGTTTGTGTGTGTGAAGCGTGGCTGGCTGGTTGGACGTGCTTCCAGTTTTGGATCGTTGCCGAACAGATTTTTTGGTGTGTGGGCAGTTCTCCTCAGGAACAGACCGTCACATCCCTGCAGTACGCACTGTTCCTCCAAATACACAAACAGAAACCTGCTGGTTTCAAGCTTCCCTCCAAACAGAGAATCCATACCAAAAACACAGCTACAAGAACACAGATAATGGAACTAGAGCAACTAGTAGATCTGATGATTGAACTTGACTGTGTGTGACAACTGCATTGAAGGTTTTAAGAACAAAAAACAAGACAGACATCTTGACTGTGTGTCAAACTTCAGTTTGAGGCCTTTGACAGCTAAAACATCAGGACTAGAGCTAAATACTTAAGCTTATATACACAGAAAAGGATAGGAGATGAGACACAGCAGAAAGTAGAGACATTGAACTGTCCAGGGAAACACAAGTCAAACACAAGTTCATATTCTTTAAATGGCCAAAATGAATAAAAAAAGTTTCGCCAAGATAAGTTTTTATAGGTGACTTTTTATACTCACTCTTGTGGCCAAAATTAGTATTACAACAGCAAACAATAATCCTGAATAAAAAAATCTTCAGTCATAAACAATTTAGATCAGACTTAAATGGATCAGCAGAAGTTACATTTTCCACAAATTCCAGTCTTTCCCTTCCAAGAGAAAGGCTTAACTTAAGTCTCCTCAGAAAAACCTTTGATGTGAACCTGGATACATAAAGAAAGACATGGTTGTATGCAAGATTAGTCTTTTTTACAGTTAGAAACTAGCATTTAGCTGTTACAGAAACATATTTAGTAGTTAGTTGTACTTGTTCGCAATATCAGTAATATAAGTTGATGAATTATGTGTCATGTTGTGTACCACTGCCCCAAAGTGGACAAAATCAGTTATTACATGTCCACATTTTTTCATGTCTGTCTTAATACCGTACCCACATCCCATGCACTGTAAAACCTGACAACACATCTTAATATAATAAAGGGGTAAGGGTTAACATAACTTAATCCTCTAAAGAAATTGGAGTCACTCATTCACATGAATTAAACTCAACTCCTAAATGAATTGCTGAAGAAACTTATTTGTTTGGAGTGCACTAAAATGTAAGCAGTATTTTAAGTACAGGCGATATACAGTGGGTACGGAAAGTATTCAGACCCCTTTAAAATTTTCACTCTTTGTTTCATTGCAGCCATTTGCTAAAATCAAAAAAGTTCATTTTATTTCTCATTAATGTACACTCAGCACCCCATCTTGACAGAAAAAAACAGAAATGTAGAAATTTTTGCAAATTTATTAAAAAAGAAAAACTGAAATATCACATGGTCATAAGTATTCAGACCCTTTGCTGTGACACTCATATTTAACTCACATGCTGTCCATTTCTTCTGATCCTCCTTGAGATGGTCCTGCTCCTTCATTGGAGTCTAGCTGTGTTTAATTAAACTGATTGGACTTGATTAGGAAAGGCACACACCTGTCTATATAAGACCTTACAGCTCACAGTGCATGTCAGAGCAAATGAGAATCATGAGGTCGAAGGAACTGCCCAAGGAGCTCAGAGACAGAATTGTGGCAAGGCACAGATCTGGCCATGGTTACAAAAGAATTTCTGCAGCACTCAAGGTTCCTAAGAGCACAGTGGCCTCCATAATCCTTAAATGGAAGAAGTTTGGGACGACCAGAACTCTTCCTAGACCTGGCCGTCCAGCCAAACTGAGCAATCGTGGGAGAAGAGCCTTGGTGAGAGAGGTAAAGAAGAACCCAAAGATCACTGTGGCTGAGCTCCAGAGATGCAGTAGGGAGATGGGAGAAAGTTCCACAAAGTCAACTATCACTGCAGCCCTGCACCAGTCGGGGCTTTATGGCAGAGTGGCCCGACGGAAGCCTCTCCTCAGTGCAAGACATATGAAAGCCCGCACAGAGTTTGCCAAAAAACACATGAAGGACTCCCAGACTATGAGAAAGAAGATTCTCTGGTCTGATGAGACCAAGATTGAACTTTTTGGCGTTAATTCTAAGCGGTATGTGTGGAGAGAACCAGGCACTGCTCATCACCTGCCCAATACAATCCCAACAGTGAAACATGGTGGTGGCAGCATCAGGCTATCGGGGTGTTTTTCAGCTGCAGGGACAGGACGACTGGTTGCAATTGAAGGAAAGATGAATGCGGCGAAGTACAGAGATATCCTGGAAGAAAACCTCTTCCAGAGTGCTCAGGACCTCAGACTGGGCCGAAGGGCCACCTTCCAACAAGACAATAACCCTAAGCACACAGCTAAAATAACAAAGGAGTGGCTTCGGAACAACTCTGTGACCATTCTTGACTGGCCCAGCCAGAGCCCTGACCTAAACCCAATTGAGCATCTCTGGAGAGATCTGAAAATGGCTGTCCACCAACGTTCACCATCCAACCTGACAGAACTGGAGAGGATCTGCAAGGAAGACTGGCAGAGGATCCCCAAATCCAGGTGTGAAAAACGTGTTGCATCATTCCCAAGAAGACTCATGGCTGTAGTAGCTCAAAAGGGTGCTTCTACTCAATACTGAGCAAAGGGTCTGAATACTTATGACCATGTGATATTTCAGTTTTTCTTTTTTAATAAATTTGCAAACATTTCTACATTTCTGTTTTTTTCTGTCAAGATGGGGTGCTGAGTGTACATTAATGAGAAATAAAATGAACTTTTTTGATTTTAGCAAATGGCTGCAATGAAACAAAGAGTGAACATTTTAAAGGGGTCTGAATACTTTCCGTACCCACTGTAATTCCAGTTTGTTCCACTGACTCATTTTCTTGATGAAAACTTTATATCATTATAAAAGTATAACCATTATAATGCTGTATAGCTTAGGATTTTTTCAATTTTTGTTTTTATTTCAGTTTATTAATCACCATAAGCCCAAGTATGCATCCAAATAATTCTTAATGATAGCCCAATGTGTCAAGATGTTAGTCACATAACAAAACACTGAAAATTATTTGGCTATGATTTTGATAATTCTTTCTAAATTATTTTGATCATACGTCAGCTGTTTTGACAGGTCATGTAATAATTTGCTTTAGTATAAAAACCGGAGTAAATTCAAGTTAACATTAGATTGAAGAAGATGCATTTAAATTACTTTATTCAGATGAATTCTGTTCACACATTTTAAATAAGTTAAGAGAAATGTTTCATATGAGTGTAACCTTAGTTAACTGAATGGATTTGGTACAATAAATGTTTTACCTTAACAATAAATACTTGAGTTACTTCTACTCAAATCAAAGTTTATTGCAATCAGTTTCCTCAAACAGTTTGAGCTGAACTAACTCAGTGTGTGTTTATTATGTTTTTGGTGCCATTTGTGGGCGGACTCCATGGAAGGCAACCCACAGCATCTGTAGATATAAAAGGCTCATTCTCAGGTAACAAAAACACAACAATTGCTATTTTAGGTTATTATACACTAATATTATATATATTATAATATTATTATTCAGTTCTGCCAATAGATCCTCCTAAATGTTACACACTGGACCTTTCAATTTTGTAGCGGGTCCGAATCACAGGGCAACACAAGTATTGTGTCCTATGGCAAAATTAATTGAATTTGTGGTAGATTGAGCAAACCTGTTGTAATGGTGTGCCTAAATATACAGAAGCATGTAACAGCCACCTCAAACATCACTGTAGAAACAAATGTAGCAGGTGTGGAAGAAATACAAGATGTGTTCCATACAAGGCTGGGCTGGAGGTCTGTGCCTTTCTGGTAGAGTTACTGGTGACTATAAGTCCCTGCAACATGACGGCACTTTAAGAGATGGAAAACGCACAATCCTTAATCTGTGTAAAAAATAGCATTATACTACTGCACAAATGGCTCAGCTCTGTCTCTGCTGTCTACTCCGTCATGGCCGGCCACGCCCAAGCCAAGCCACATTGCTTTGTTTCTCCTACTCATTCCTGACTAGAGTGTGTAAAGAACAAAACACCTCATGAATGATCAATTTGGATACCTTTGGTACCTTTAAGTTAAGCTTTAAGTTCAGATTGTATTCGCTGTGACCCTTACTATGATGCAGGGCTGTGCAGTGTGGATGTAGCCTCATGTTTAGTTTGATGCACTGGCATTTAGTAGGCTTGTATAGTGTGTGCTGTTTGTCTGGACTGTAGGGACCGTTAAGTTTAATTAAGGGAGTTGAATTCATTCCCGCCTTAAATTACATTATGTTTAAAATATTATTTATTTTTTGTTGGCAGTTTATTTCACATTACCCATATGGCCTATGTCTACTTTCCTTTTATGCCTTTCTGCAGCACGCTGCGGCCGCTGCTTAACAACCAATCATATTGCCTTATTGTCCTCATTAAACCTCCACTCTCTTCCTACTGCAACCTCCAGGGCCTCTTTCTGAACCTCCACCAGTCAGCTAACTAGTTACACATTCACCAGAGGTCCCCTGACCTCATTGAACTACAGCCTTAAATGATCTATTACTACGTTGATAATAAATAAGCTGCAATGTTTTCAATAAACCGTGAAACACAAAAAGAATTTTATTAGGGCAAACTTTATTTAAAATGTGGCTGCTAAAAACTGAAAAAGGTCACATCAAAGACACACCACTGTCACATTTCCCAACACTGGCCCACATCAATTCTCCAGAAAAGCAATGATTCGATCACATTCCCTCCCTGGATCGACCTCAGCTTCTTCACCATCATGACTTTTATATATTTTTAAGTCTGGTGTCGCATAAAATGATTCAACACTACAAACAAATCTTGAAGTTGAATGACATTTTCCAAACAGTTTCAAAGGGTTTTTACATTTTAATGATTTCATTTACATCTTTGCAAGGATGAAAAGTAAAGCAAGCAAGTAAAGTTGAAGATACTAATTTGGAGATGGAGATTTTATCTATTTACTTTTACTAGACCATGGATTACGTGGTTATGGAGTAACAACATCAACATATAGTCTTTTCTATTATGGTGGAGGTTGTCACACTGAGCCATGCTGCGAAGAGCCATGAGTAGGCAAGCCACGTTGCCGCAACTTGTCTTGACTTGATGACACAATGTGGGGACGTGGTAAAAGTTGTTGCCTTTCGTGCTCACCTTAATCACATATAGATACAGTGCTGGAGGCGAGGCCCCATTAAATTCTATGGAAGCTGCTCAGTGGCGCATGAAGTCAAAAAAGTTTGATTTCCCGGTGTAAAATTACCCACATCTGCTTTCACATCGTGCGGGCCAATAGAGCAAGCACTGCAGTCTACTGCTGACCGAGCCGCTAACTTCCAGTTCAACATGCTAACTTTAATGGGGAGAAAATTATTTAATTGTACGACTCTTCTAGACTTTCCAAATGTTATCAGACCGGACTGATCAAATTCTGATGTAATTTCGTCGAGGGTTGTGATGCTCAAAAAATCTACCATCTTACAGCTGCTTATTTTACAATGTAAGCTTATAAGATAAAAAGCTTTTTGCTGTAATTACGTGGTTTGGCCACTATGTCAAATTGGCTCCAAAGGCCTGTGCTCTTCCTGGGGGCTTGCTAGCGGCTACTCAAGCTGTAGTGGAAACACATGTCATGACGACATGACTTGGCCCATCATGGCTAAAGTGGACCAACCCAGGCCAATGGAAAATCCTTAATATATACAAGTAATGACAAAACAATGTTACCATGCTAGTTTCAAATGCAAGGTAAACCTTCCTTAAGAAGGTGCCTATTTTATGTGTTTCTAAAAAGATAGATTTTGTAACCTTCCCCAGCTCGATCTGGAACTTTTAGGGAAAGCTGAGCTTCCTGAGGCTCTGCTGAGCTTTCTGAGCTCGTCTGAGTCTTTCCTCGAAGAAACTCTGTTGGTGCTGATTCCTCTGATCCAACCTGACCGACCACTGCTCCCTCAGCCTGGAGAAAGAGAGAGGGAGGAGGCATAAAGGAATTTCAGTCAGACAACTCACGTTTGAAATGTTTATTAAAGCAGTATAGCATATTTAGATTTTGGCATCTAGGCTCCGACCTCATCATTCCCCGCAGGTATATTTACATAGAGATATATACATTAAATTGTTCATAGTTTAAATAGCTGCAGCTCGAGTTGACTGCCTGAACTAGCCTGCCTAGATTGGTGGAACTAGGTTTGAACACTAGAGTGATGAGTTTGAAGGTTTATCAAGCTCCAAAACACTGCACAGTACGATTACAAGATTTAACAACAATCACCAAGAAAACTGTGGAATTATGAATTAAGTATGAATTAAATACTGTGAAAAAAAGGCTTCCCAGGCAGGTCAGTGATAAACCACAGAAATAAAGAGGGGAGCTATGTGGATGCAGAAAAGTAAAGGAACTGAATATGCATAATATGTGCTCAAATACAAACACTCAATGAAATAAAAAACACAGAGAAGGCTTACATTGGCAGCTGGATTGCAACACATTAAGGAAGAGTGCCAATTAAGGCGTTTCTTTTTTGTGTTCTTCATGCCATTGAGTTCCTGTATTTGTGCACATATTGAGCATATTAAATTCTCTCACTTTTCTGCAATCAACAGTGACCTGCCTTTTTTCACAGTACAAAGTAATCTACCAGGAATCTGTGTCTTAATGTATGTGATTAGTCCATGCAGTGTGTCAGCAACTTAAAGGCTCAGTAGTTCACTCCATAGAGCTGTTCTGCCTGAACAGCACTAGTATATCATGTTTGTGGTTAGCATGGCAGCCACAGAAGTTCACTAACTGGACCTCCCAAGAGTCACCAAACTGATCACCTGTTTTGCAACAATGCGTCAATTCATTTAGCCATTTTCTAGTGTGACCTATTACAACATTTTTGAGACAGAATGTTTTTAACTTTGGCATAGGAATGGGAACATGGTAATGGTAATGGTAATGGTAAATTGACCTGTACTTGTATAGTGCCTTTCTAGTCTTCTGACCACTCAAAGCGCTTTTTACACTACCTGCCACATTCACCCTTTCACACACATTCACACAGTGATGGCAAAATCCATCGAACAGAAACTAACATTCATACACACTCACACAATGTGCAATTTGGGGTTCAGTATCTTGCTCAAGGATACTTTGACATGTGGCACCAGGAGCCGGGGATCGAACCCACAACCTTCCGATTAAGGAACAATATTCTAATTAGCACTAAGAACAAAGAACTTCAGTTTGCAAAACAGTTGCTGTTGGATGTAAAAAGGCTATAGAGCAAAAATTACAGTTTCTTTAAAGGACCAGTGTGTAGGATTTAGTGGAAGATGCAGATTGCAACCAACTGAACACTGCTTGGCGTTGGTATTTGACGACCTGGGTTTGGGAACTGGCTGTCAAAAAGTGTAGTGCCAGGGTTTTAATTGTCCATTTTGGGCTATTGTAAACATAGCAGTTTAACAGGGTGAACTCCATAGAAGAGGACCCCCTCCCTCTGTAGATAAAAATGTTGTCATTGTCAATGTCATTCTAAGGTATTTTCAGGTGATTATACACTAATGAAAACAGACCTATGAATACTATATTCCATTTCAGATAACAGATCATACTGTTACACACTTGACTTTTAAAATTTGGGTTAGGTAGAGCTGGAATACCAACATGCAAATGCTGTTAACACGATGTTTATTTGTGACCAAAAAGATTTTCACCTTTCCAAATTAATCTGATGATGTCTGAAAGTGTCTGTTTTAACCCACAAATCACCAAATCAGTGCTTAATAAGACTCACACAGAACCTGACCAAAACTTCTTACACTGTATAGGTGGTATTTATTGCAGAAATGGGTTAAAATACTTTAAAGATGAGGAAAAAATAAGAAGAGGAGAAAATAAGAAGAAAGTCTAAAGTAATTTGTGTATTCTGAATTCAGTGATTGGGAGGAAGAGATGAGCGGCGGTATTGTCCCAACATCAGAGGCCAGTATTTACCCTGACACCATAACTCCTGGGCTTAAATTAATCGTGCAGACATCCAGTGAAACTTGATCTGCAGTCATCGCTGTCAGGGCTAATTGTGTTACGGAAAATAAGGCACAGTATGTGTGTGTGTGTGTGTGTGTGTGTGTGTAGGGCCGTGTTAGCTGTGACAGGATTAATATTGTTGTGTCTGTGTTAGCATGCGTCCGTCTGTCAGCACGCTCCACCATGTGCTGGGTAATCTGCAGCGTTCTGTTCATCTGTCCTCAGTTATTCGCACTGATCTCCAGGATTCAAACGTATAGTCGAGCTGCTTCTAATCAACATTCTCAGGCTACTATGTGATGACAGACAGATGAGCTGTAAACATAACTGAGGCATTTTCTCCAACTGATCAAGTTATGAAGCAGAGATGGGGACAAGGGCTAAGGACAGTAAAAAAAAATTTGCTTTTAATATTCTTTTCTTTTCCTCTCTGACCTTTTTGGACTCTGTAGTTCAACCATAACTTTGTTTTAAATTTGAATAAAGTCTCTAAAGAGGCTAATATTTGGAGAAATGTGTCTAAAATGATGCATATAAAGAATACTTTAATTTGATTACATGGTGCAGTCATAAAGGTTTGGGTTTGAATATTTTACTCCATGTAAACATCCTACAGCTTCAATAAAGAGCTGGAACAACATTATACAGAGGAAACTGATGGATGACAAATTACAGGAAAAGCCAGAATTAAGGTTTAAGGTATTGGAACATCACAAGCCTCCAGAACAGCTTCAATGCTTGGCATACATTTTCCTCTATGAATCTAAGCGTATATGCCAAGTCTCTGAAGTGGTGTACTGGAGGGATGAGCATCATCCATCCAAAGGATAGTCCCTCATTTGGGGTGTTGTTGATGATGGTGGTCCAAAATTCACCATTGGTGCTCAGTTGGGACAAGATCTGGCAACTACGTAGGCCATAGGAAATGATTCACACCATTTTCAGACTTATCAGTGACCCCTTTTTTACCTGTATTAGTTGCATTTCTCTTTCATTTATTCAGTTTTTCCTTTGTCATCCATCTGTATATACTGTCAGACACAGCGGAGAAACATCATTCTTCTAACTTTACAGCTGCTAGTAAACTCGACAGCTGTAATCCCCTAAACATAAAAATCATCAGTAACAGATCATTTAATCCCTCTCTTTCTGTGTGACAGGTTGCCAAATTTGATTGTTTAACTTGAAACACATGGAGGCTGTAAGTCATGGTTGGACGCACAATGTTATATACAAACTAGTTTGTTAGTTCATGCCCATTAGTGCTTATTTTATTTATTTGGGGAGAGCATGAAAGATGGAAAGGAAAGGGGGATGACATGCAGCAAAGAGCCACAAGTCAGATTCAAACCCATGGCCGCTGCAGCAGGAACTCAGCCTTACACAGGGACCAAATGTCCAGGCAGCATTCACTGTACTTTGTCCCATACTACAAAAGAAAGATGATACTCAGCGCACACAAGCATGTGTGAGCAAGTTTCATGGCAAAAGAGGCAGACAGAAAGCGAACGGATAAGATGCGGGTTTCAGGTGAACACCAAGACATTGTAGTAACACTCACATAACAATACTGTGGGCAGCATTGGGTGTTGTATTGAAGTTCACTGTTTCAGTTTGTCCAGCGCAAGAACAAAGTTTGTAGAACTTGCCAGCAGCCAACCTCCATATGACTAGCAGTTGTCTCTCACACACACACACACACACACACACACACACACACACACACACACACACACACACACACTCTTTCTCTCTCACACCCCACACTGTCTCCTCCAAAGTGTGAGTGTGGGTTTTTCCCATGTGATTGTAGCTTAGAGAGACGGATGCATTTAAACCTTTTCAACACCTTTTCTTGAATGCTTCTCAGATGCACTTTTTTGATACCTGATAGCTCAAGAGTCACTCACTTCCACCCAAGAGGCATGAAATATGAACGGGGGACCAAGATGTCTAAAACAAACCTATCAAGCTAAATTTAGCTGTAATTGTAACTAACAAGACATGCAACTGACCACTTTCAGAACTACAGATTTCAGGTGGAGTATGTCCTTTTAATAGCTTTGCTGCTGACCGTGTCAGAGAGCTGCTCCTCATGCGGTTCTCCTCCTCGTCCATCTGCTCGCTGTGTTGAATGATCCTCTGCTCCCAGAACGACTTCAGCTTGTGTTTGTCATGAATCCGAGCCGCATTCATCACCTGACGACAGGAAACAAGCCGCAGTCACACAAACCCTCGCTGCAGACACTAAAAGTTGTCCCATTGTTCCAGAAACACTGATAAACTTACTGCTGCTTTCCAGCTTCACTCTTCTTTCTCCTTTTCTCCTTTTTTTTAACTCTCTCTTCTCTTCTCTTCTTCTCTCAGTCTTCAATTTCACTTACCAGAAATTCCTCATTATTGTTATTCTTCTCTTGCCCCTCTTTCTTTCTTTTTTACATCTCTCTGTCGCTTGTCCCCTTCTGTCCTCTTCTCTCTTTTCTTCCTCCTTTATCTCCTCTTTTAACTCCTCCCCTGTTCTCCACCTTTCTGTTTTATTGTCTATTTTTCCTCTCCAACCTTCATTCCTTTTTTCTTTTCTATTTTCGCTGTTTGCCTGCTATCCTCCTGTACTCTCCTCTCGATTTTCCTCTCTTCCTTACTTTCACATTTTTTTCCTTCTCTTGTATGTTTTCTCTTTTCTTTGAATGTTATTCTTTCTCTGTAACATTTCTTCTCTTCTTGTTTTGCCCCTGTGTGCCAGTTTTGGGATGGTGGTGGTTTGTTAAGTGAGATCAGAAGATGAGTGACTAGGACTGACTTGTCTCTTAAGGCATGCTTTTGATTTGAGATGTAAGATTTAAAGGGGAACTCGATTTCACATTTGAAGATTAGTTAACCATTATAGGAATTGGAGTCTTCAGGGTTCTTAAAGTCTCAATAACCCTGATGTTGTCATAGCTCTGGCTTGGAGACTACTACTACCATTGGTTTGTGGAATTTATGAGTTGACACTGTGAATCAATCAACACACCTTTATTGTCAGTATGACAACTTTGACCATTCCATTTGTTTCTATTGGCTCTCTTGCATGGCATATGCTTTAGTGATTGGATCTTCAAACGTTTTTTAAAAATGTATATGAATTTCAATGCATTATTTCAATGCAAACACTCACTGGTTCCAGTGCCAGCGTCACCTATTTTACCATCCTCCTCTTATCCACTAACATGACATCTGGTTTGCTGTCTAGCGTCTACCTGATTCCATTTGAATGCAGCATTATGCAGTGAAATCACTGGAGTACCCCTGTAAATCTAGCTGAGAGACAGCTTAACATACTGATAGTACAGCTACCCAAGTAAGAAGGCAACACATTTCCTCTGTTTTTCTTCTGCTCCTGTTTGACTTTTCAATTTTAGTTTGAAAAAGGTAACTTTAGGATGAAGCCCTCGCTCTTTGATTCAGTGAGTCGTGAAAATACCCGACATTTACTGGTGATGGTTTCGATTTATTCAACACCTTGTAATAAATGCAGCACCAGGAAGATGTTTCTGTCTCTTCAGGTCACAGAGTGAGAGGACATTTTGGTTTTTACTGTTTCTATTTTTTTTTTTTTTTTTATTCATTTAAAAACCAGCTACATTTGTACTGAATCAATAAATGAGACAGAGCTCATGATGTGAACAACACACACAGGTCACAGATCAGTACGTCACTTGTTGTACAATGAACACAACAGGGAAAGACATTGTGGAAACACCATTTCAATTTCCCACAGTGCTGTTCATCATGCCGTAAAAAGCCCTAATAAGTTTTCTGTAATTACAGAGTTGGACTCAAATAGAAAATTCATATTTGTTTCTGTTTGTCACCAAAACATAATTGAGAGATTATAGTATCAGTCTGTATTTTATGGTGGTGATATCTGACTTTCACGCATCCAGATGTCATAGTGGCCCGTTCTCATTCCCAGGTCATCAAATACCAACATTTTGTCACTCTTCAGTGTCTCATGCAGACACACAATGTTCCCTTTAGTGTCTGTATGAGACACACCTAGCTTACATCTAACTCCAATGTAACCTATCCGCGTCAGCTGGCGTACTCAAAAGAGCAACAAAGTCAGTATATGGAGGTGGTCGGGGTGGATGGATGGGTCAAACAAACAGGACTATAAGGGCTTGTTGTCCCTTCTTATCTAAAATGGCTGAAAACCGTCACTGAACTGAGACATAACTATTGTAAAACATCAATTAAAAGGCAGGCCCCCTTCACTAGCCTGATGAGGCACGTTTGGACGAATAAACACAGGTCTCAACTAGATGCCTGGTCTGGATTTTATAGAAGTTATTTGCCTGTATAAAACCTACCAGGTCGCCCACATGTGTGAGGTCAAAGCTGCTTAGATCGCCTACACAAATAGAAACGTTTAAACATAGATATGCTAGATAGTTAGATTCTCCACAAGTCAGTCGTTCAGATTATTTTAAGTGCTGTCAAACGATTGAAATATTTAATCGCAATTAATCGCATTTAATCGCACATTTTTATCTATTCTAAATGTCCCTTGATTTCTTTTTGTCCCATAATTTTTTCTTATTTTAATGCTCTTATGAACATGGAAAAGTGGATCTGCTTGCTTTGTGCAACTGTTGTTTTTGTCAATGGAACCATTTGGCAACTTTTTAAAAGGAAACTTTCCATTCAGAATATTATTGGCATCCATTTAGGCGTCTTGCGCTGGCCATCCACTCAACATCTACTACTCTTAAACAAGTGTGTGCGGCGTGCCTGTTGTTTTGTTTCCAGTCTAGCTAGATCCGGTGTGGTGTTGTAGTTTTTGTTGCAACAACATGTGAAAAAAACTACAAAGTGTGCTAGGTCAAAACGAACGTTAATCTCGCGATAAAAAATTGACGCCGTTAAAATGAGTTTGCGGTAACGCTGTTAATAACGCGTTTAACTGACAGCACTAATTATTTTACAGAAACCATGAGCACCAAAGGATCAAATGATCAAATGAGTGATTCGTAATTGAAATTAAAGTAATATTCATACTGATTTAAATAAACTATTTGATATTATTTCCATCTGTCCTGAGTTTTGTGCAAAAGGAATCAAAGGCCTGTCCCATATATCGGCCTGTTCCAAATAAAGGCAGTCCACCTGACTTTATTTGAAATCTTCAGTGATTAAAGCAAATAAAAACCCAGGATATTAATAGAAGTTTCACGGTATTCAATGACTGTAGGTTTTCAGTCTGGAAACCAACCAATCCTAGAAATTACTACTACTTATACTACTAATGTGCAACAGCAAATATGTCTTTGCGAGAAACATAATGGCACCCAAATTATCAACAACGTCTTTTAATTGTTTGCCCTATAATATCCTCTCCTGCATTATAATATGAGTTGTTACCATGAGGACGGAGGTACCGGTAACCAACCTCTACCTTCCAGTTTCGCTCTGTTAAACAAATAATTAAGATATGATGGTTGAGCCACTTACATCATGCTGTTTTATTCTGTCCTTAATTGTTATGTTTCTTATTGTTGTTGTCACGGACACAAAATGAATTTCTGAAACTTTAACAAACAAAACTAACATTTAACTGAGAACACAAATGTCTCAGGATGCAAGCCTTGGTCTCTGGAGTGAAAGTCCTGCACTTTGTACGCCCACCATCCCCTCAACAAATACATACTATATTCATTAGGATACATTTTGCCACTGAACATAATCCAGGCAGCAATTCCATTTTCCTCAAAACTCATTTGGCATCACTAATTAATGATATGTAAAAATAATTTCCAGGAGACAGGGTTTGGTTTTTGTTACTTTTATTCTCACATGGCTCCGCTCTCTCTCTCTCTCTCTCTCTCTCTCTCTCTCTCTCTCTCTCTCTCTCTCTCTCTCATTAACACCACAGCTGCTAGAGTTAAACTGAATGTTAATGCCACAGTAGTGAGTGTGTGTGTGTTCCCCAAGCTACTACATACTCTACTAGCAATATCATCGTCATAGCTATGACATGATGCACACATGGTCCCTGTGTGTGTGTGTGTGTGTGTGTGTGTGTGTGTGTGTGTGTGTGTGTGTGTGTGTTCTTTTCCAATTCTATGGAAGCCCATTTCCACCAGAAGTTTTAAAACAAATGGATGCTGAAATGTAAGAAAGGACAAAAATAGACTTCAATCAAAATTCTGATTTAGTATCTCATAACTGTAACATGACTTAGTAACTCGTATTTTGACTTCTGCGCAGATCAACAGCTGAAAAGGCACTAAAGTGTTCAGACCAAAAGGTGAGAGCTTGATGATAAAATGGAACACGGTGACTCATCCTTTAACAGGTATGATTACAAGACATGATTAAAAAAAACAAAAGAAAAAATGTCTGAAGTATTTTTACATTAGTTCATTGTGTATTCCTCCCTGTGTGTGTGTGTGTGTGTGTGTGAATAACGTTTTAATGTGTGTCTTCTTGTGGCTGCTTACAAAATCCCTCGACAGGGAGTCAGATGGAAGGCATTACAAAACTTTGATATCATGTCACACACACACACACACACACACACACACACACACACACACACACACACACACACACACCAATGACTTTTATTCAAATCCATCCAAACAGCTGATCAGCACCACAGTGCAAACTTCCCTGCTGGGATTAAAACAGCTGACAATAGCGTGTCTGTGTGTGGGGAGTTAATAAAACAGGATGTTATTAAAGGACCATTCCACTGGTTTTACTTGTTAAAGGTCCAGTGTGTAACATTGAGAAGGATTTATTGGCGGAAATGGAATATAATATATATGTTTTCATTATTGTATAATCAGCTGAAAATAGGAATCATTGTGTTTTTGTTACTTTTGAATGAGCCTTTTATTTACAGACACCACCTGTCCACCACTAGCAATTAAATCCTACACACTGGACCTTGGGTGATTTTCAAGTTTCAAGTATTTTCTGAAAATAAGAATGTTCTCCAACAGAACAAATGTTGAGGATGACTAATATCCACTCCTGCCGCTAAAGAAGAATTGTCTATTATTATTTTTAAGCTATATAACACAGTAGAAATTTGGCATAAACAGCATTATTAATCTTTAAACCTGTTCTTGATGTATCGGTCCGCCAGTGTTGACAGCCAATGTTGTCTTGTTGCAGACATATTGCTATTGTATCGGTGTGTATGTTATCCGATATGCGCTGATATAAAAAGTGCCCTGTATACAATGCAAAAAAAATGCTTGTGGTAGTATATTAGTGTCACTGCAAAGTTACTCCAGCAGAGGGCGCTGTGATTTAAATTACACAGATTTACACACTTTTTTTCTCTCAACTGACCCCAAGGGGGGGTTCCTATTTGAACTATCTGAAGTGATAAAATGTATCTATGTTCTGTTTTCTTATTAATCATTGCTGTTACAAAGTCACAAGAATTATTTTATTTTATGTCCCTGACACTGTGGATACAAGTGCCCTTTTTACAATGTAAATAAAAGTGAAGTGAGTATAAAAGTAAAAGGTACTGTCTTGGTTTCTCTGAAGGACATTTCTACCGGCTGTTTCTGTGCAAAGCAAACGTATGTTTTGTATGTTTTTTTCATTATATTATATCTATCATGCGTGATTTGCACTGGTACGGATGTCGATTAATGCAAAAATAAAACAAAGGCCTCAAAGGCAGTTTTCATGTTTTTAAAATATAAGGAATATAAAGTACAGATATTTGTTTAAAAATGTTGGGATATAGTAAAAAGTCAGAAAAATAAATAGCCTAGAACTGAGACCTGTCACTCAGTAAGACGTATGCATGGCACTTATTTACACATAATTTCAAGTTTGTGCCTGAAATGGGTTGGTACTCACAGGTACCGGCACTGATTTTTGTCCACGAGCACCCTTCCATTTTATTTCATAAGCCACCTCCTTATGAGTCTAGGTGCACAGCCCTAAACACCTATTTAACACTTGACTTTTAACGCTTCATTTTTCATTCTGCCAAGACTGCCCTACTTTAGCTAGTGTTTGTTGTATTCATTGGTTTATTTGCTTTTTAGCCAGGAGTGTCATAGAAAAGAGCCAGGGTCTAGGTTAACACTGAGAATACAGCATTGAAAATGGATAGAAATTAGGGTAAGGGTGTGTTGTGGTTAGGGGTAGGGGTAGGGTGGTGCTGAATTTGGGTACTGGCACTTTTTTTTATCCCTTTCAGGCACTGGATTAGGGTTAGGGTAAAGGCTGGGGAATGCCTGAAACAATGTCATCGAGGTTCCCTCGTTCTGATTGCTGCTATCAGGCAGACAAGTGGAGAGATAAGAAACACACACACTCTCACACAGTTTCTTCCTCTTCACTCTCTCTCTTCCAGTTTGTTTGCTTTGCTAAACACAACAAAATCCCTTTGCTGAACTGCAGCAGATGGAGTTTGATGTCTGCCTTTTCTCTCACTGGGTTCATTAGCAGTTGAGCACTGAAGCATGCAAAGATGTCGCTGAAGTCACAAGAGTACGTGGAAACGTGGGTTCAAATCATTTCACATTTCTCATTTCTTATTCACAACCACTTTAATCCCTGTAAATCTGCTCCCATCTCCTGCTGCTCCTCTTCTGTTCAGACTCCAGGAGCTCCCTCATCTCCACCTGCAGCTCCTTAAATCTCCTCCAATCCTTTTAACATCTTCTTCAGGAGGTCAACAGACACAACATTCTGGAACTGAATTACTGGATTTCTAAAAGCTGCAGTAGGTCATTTTATATATTATTTGTCATATTTGCTGAAACTTTCAGTATATTCTGACAGAAGTTAATGAGACAGATAATCTGTGAAAAAATATCTTCCCAGTGCTCCTAATGGCATTTGCAAGAACCCACCGGGCCTGAACGAAACCAATCAGAGCCAAGAAAGATAGTTGACTGTTGGGTCTCATTCCCAGGGTGTCAAATACAGATTCTGGGACCTAGAAATTAGGCTCAGCAATCAACTTCAAGCCACCAACCTAAAGCGTCTTTATGTCTTTCTCAGCTCTGATTGGTTTTCCTCCAGGCCCAGTGGATTGTTACAAATGTTATTAGGAGCATTAGGAGGAGCCAGAGGAACCTGATTTTTTCACAAATTAAGTTTCAACAAATGTGATTATTTGTTGAAACTTAAATCTTCCACCAACAGAGTACTGGCTTCGTTCTGGTTCGGGAACCTAGTATTTTGGAGCATTTCAACCAAAATTAAATTGATTTGGAACCAAAAAAGTTGGTTCCCAGTTGGAACCAAAAATAGCAGAAATTCCATGGGAACCACAGTGGGCGTGTCATATTCTACAGATCGTTTTGCATTGTGATTACAATGGTTTCACTCAAAAGTGCAGCAACAGTTCAAGAATCTTAAATGGAACCAGTTTAGGAACCAGGGCTAATTTGGTGGAAAAACATTACTTGTTTTCCTCTCTCCATAACTCCCCTTGCACATCCTATCCCATAATGTGGTTATGGGCTTCATATTTATTTAAAATTGCAATAATACTTTAATTCCTGTAGCGATACGTCACATAATTAGCAGTTTTTTTTATCGCATTGTAAAAATGTTGCTTCTTGAGTTTGCTTTTTTCTAATTTTGCCCCTCATATTAACCTGTGTTATGACAGATAGAATGCTGGACAAACTATGAACATGAGATAAAATTATGTAATAATCAAGAATTATTCTTTAAGGTTAATTTATTTTAAGGTTTGTAATTTTATTCTGCCTGTTAAGTTTAAAACTGTGAGCTGTAGCAGCTGGCAGGCCGACACACTGCAGAAGAGCTGATGTGTTTGTTTAAGATAAGAGAGCAGCTGATAATCAATACAAACCTCATCAATAAACTCTGGAGATAAGAGACAGGGAGAGCTCCCACTGAAAATACCTATAGATAACACAGAGAGAGAGTTTTAAGGGAAGAAGGATTCTGTTTGATATTTAAAGATCCTTTGTTTAATATTTAGTTTGAATAACAATTTGATAGTATGATTTTGATGAGTTTTTCATATTTATATATAAAACTTTACTCGTATGTTACTTCTAGTGTCATATTTCTTTTAATGATGTAAACACTTGTTTTTCCAGAGACAACGTACTTCCTGTTTCTCATTACACAAACAAAACTTGTGCAACTTTGTAAACACATAATCAATACATGTTTAATCAAAGAGACAAAATGTCACATCAGCTCATAGTTTGTGCAAACAGACAGAAGACACAAATTTAAAAACGAGAAACTGCATCTTCTTTTACAAAGAAAAAAAATCACATTGAGCTACAGATCCTAAAATGACAAAAAAAAAACATACATTTCGTAAAAATCTTATGTACAGCTTCCTTCACATACATTTTGTTCTTCAAGATATCATAGACACACAGACGACCTTCCACTGGAAGGATAAGCTTTAAGAATCAGAGACACACACATACACACACACACACACACACACACACACACACACACACACACACACTTGCTGCTGCGTTCACTGTTAAACTGCTGATTCATAAATAGATAAATACCCTGCTGTAATCACTATTATATTTTGCATCTGTTGCCTTCTATGGTTTTAATTAAAATCCACATTGTAATATTTTTAAGTCAATACTGAATCCTCAAATGTTCAAATCTGTCAATGGAGTGATCTATTTTAAATATTTTTACACTCATTTCTCAAAATGTCTTAAAACAAGAGGAACTGAATTGGGGAAATGGAGTTAGTTCAGATGCAATACCAGAATTTTTTTATTTTTTGAAGCAACTGGTCAACTGTGTCTACTGAACTCATGAAATGTAAGTGGTGTATTATTCGAGTCCATTTAACCTATAGTCCTCAAAAAGACTCATTGCTGCCATTTCATAGGCAACAATGAATAGCTCAGTTTAGTGCCAAAGACCTCCAGTACGTCCCCATAAACCATAACATCACAGTAGGTCCCCCTAAACCACAACCCAGTCCAACTGCAGAGTTTAAAAGTCCAGAAATTTAGATTTTAAGACCGTAAGCATGTCTTCATAACTCCTTATTTCCAGTTTTGAACCAATATTTGACTCCTCCACTACTGTAGCATTTGGACAAAATACAATAAATATTTTTTAAAGCTTATAAAGCTCTGATTGTGACTGTAAACAGATCTTTAGTCATGAAGCAGCAGTATGAGAAATCTTGCATAGCGTCCAGCATCCATTTTGGAAAAAAACATCAGAGGAGGAGGAGGAGAAGCAGAGGAAGAAACAGTGTCAGATACAGGAAACAGCCGGTCCGAACTGTCCTGACAGCTGACGAACGATACCAACGCACCTCCTCCGAGTCATCTGGGAAGTAGAGAAAGACAGAAAACTCATGAAGAACTGGACTAATCATTCAGTGCAGAACTTGCACGGTGCAATTTGTATTCAATTATTTAGACACACTTTGTGGTTAGTATTTGACATATATAGTGCTTAGCTTTCTTTTCAAACTCTTCATTTTTAATATAGTAGATACACATAGTGTACAGTATTCAGATTTTTAAGGTTACTTATCTATACGCTATACTGCATCTGTTATTGTACTTCCTTTTGCTGCATTGAAATTTCACTGTCCCTCAATATCTCATCTCATCTTAACTTGCACTTCATCAGTTGCTGAGATGTTATGAGAAACACTGTATATAACAATAAAAGTCCAACACTATGAATGTCTTCCAGGTGAGATAGTTTGAAAATGCATGCTGTTATCCCAGTATTTAAACAATATCATGTCTCCTCCTACTCTACTGCCAAACTGAAATTTTGCTGCCTGACCTTGAGGACCATTCCTTTGTGAGTTGTGTGAGTTCTCTCTCCTGATTGGATAAAGTGGGAACGGGATACCAGGAAATGTACGTAGACCAATGTTACTGACTGAAGACTCTATATTAGTTGAAGTTGTTCTTATTTTAACAAAAAATATCACTTAAAGTAACTTTAATGTGGAAGCCCTCTGTGTCGTTTTTCTGGAATGTATGGGAAGGAGTTGAAGGTTGAGGGTGTTTTGCATTTTGGAAGAAAAGCCTTGAACTGTAAAGGAGTGGGCAGGGCTTATGGGTATTCTGAGGTGTGTTCACACTCAAGAGGGAGTTTACTGCGAATGGTGGCTTTTGACAGTCTGACTGCCGGGCGTCGGCAGCTCGTCAACACATCTTCTGTTCATATAAATGAAAAGGGCACAGCTGCTGAATGGACAGCGTGGAAAACTACCAGCTCACATTGAGAGACTCTGACACAATCTGTGCAGGTCCACGGGGATGAGTTTTTGTTATACATGCTGACAACAAAAACCTTGCCAGACCTGAACATCGCCTGAAGTTTCAAGTCCCTGATGTTTGATTTTCATTTGGGAAATATAACTCAACCTAAAGCTGGTGGATGATTTGGAAAATATTCAACTGTTGCAGGAAACAGCAGAAAGTGTAAACTAAAGTGTATCCTACCGCAGTCTTTATGGAAGACGTGGGGGAAGCAGTGTAGGACACCGTAACCACAGCGACAGTAGGAGCATCCTTTCTGAACCCACTCGCCATGAGGAATGGAACCACAGCTCCTACAGAGAGACAGACAGAGTGTGAACTACTAAACTAAAGACAACAATAACTGATAGTTTGAGGGACTGTCTCATTAACGTGATGATTTATAGAAAATAAGACTTGAGTGTTGTTGTTTTCTCGTTGTTTACCTGATTCGCTGGTCGTACTCGCAGCTCCTCCCCGTGAAGAATGGAGGGCACGCACAGAAGCTGCCCAGGATGCAGGTTCCTCCGTTCTTACAGCAGCTCCGACTCTGCTCAGCACCTACAAGATAAAATATGACATCAGAGCTGCAACTAATAAGACCTCAAACTCACCGTCCAAATCAATTTCCTTCAAATAACTGTGCTTAGACAGGAAACATCCTTTACTTTCACACCGTTTAAAGAATTTCCTGTGACTGATTATTGGAGTTGACATGGCCATCTAACTCCAGATTGCAGTGTCAAATCTCACTGCACTTTTAAACCATTTTGCCTTTTGCATCCAACTCAAATGGAGGCTTCCACATTTCAGACATGAAGTCTAATTTGGATGAATAAAATCAACCAATAAAAAGATTTCCCCCAAAACACATTTGAAAGCAAACTGAAAAATGCATCTTTATATGTAACTTGATTCATTATTCATCAGTAATCTAATCATATTTAAGACATTTTTTGTGAATTTAGTAATTTAGAAATTCTTCCTGTTTTTGAGGAGTTTACGCTTTTTATTCTATTTTTTTTGTTTAGTTTAGTAATTTAGTCAAGCATCTTGTAACCTTGTGTTGAACGCTGTAGTGTAAATTAGATCTTGCTATAATCTATATGGGTTCCTTTGTAGAGCAAGTTTGGGGATCCTGTGAGACCAGCCAAAGGCCGCTGCAGGGCCCACAGCCATCAAACCTCAGGCTGAGCCTCTCTCTGCCTCTATCTGTATCTGTGAGATAAACCAGAGTCTCCATCTGGCAGCACATTCCTGTCATCCTCCACTTCACATCAGCAGACAAACACTGAGAGTCAGAACAAACATCTGAAAATAACAGAAAAACACTAAAACTGACTAACGGTGGCCTGGAATATCCAGAGACTCTCCGTCAGGCTGTCACATCTCTACTGTTTCTGAGTTTCTTGTTTAAGAGAAACGCGAAAAAACACGTTATTTTGGAGCAAAACAAATTCACATTTTACTAAGAATTTATATTTAATGTTATATTTAATATCTTTTTTGAAAAGACACAGAATAATCCTAAAAAAATTACGCTAATAAAATAATCTGACACTATTTTAAAGTTATGACAAGCGTGACATGATGAGCCTACTTTTCCTGCGTTTTGGAGTTCATTCAGAAGTATCTTATTTGAACCACTTAATTTTGCAGTTTTTAGGGAAATTAAGGGAAAGTCGCCAGTGCGGGGAAATTATTAAAATATATGTTGGTCAAAATCAACTTATTATACGGTATATTGTTATTATTAATTTAGTTTCATTATGTTCATTTTCATGTACCTATTCCACACTTCCTTCTTTTTAAACAGTTTCACCCCCACACCGAGAAAATTCTGCATGTGCACATTTCAGGGCTCACCACCTGTGTGTGCACACAGTGGCTGGGTGTGAACTTACTGCCTGTGAGGCCGATGAAGGGCAGGACGGCGCTGGCGTCACGGTGTTTACGGTCCCCGCTGTTTGATGAGCTCACTCGGGTAAACTGAGCCAGGAAGTCCTCTGACGGTTGCTGGGACTTCACCACCAGAGAGGGTGAGATAGAAGAGGAGGAGGGGGGCAATGACGAGGAGGTCTGGTCTGTGCTGCACTCATCTCCTTCACAACCTGAAAAGGTAAAAAAAAAAAGTCAGAATCTGGAAAACCATCACAGTGTGAGAACACATCTGCTACCCTCTCTTTACTCTGCTCACCTGCAACTGTACCAGTAGTTTTGTATGTTTTGGCCCATTTACTACAACTCTCTAACACCTCACACCACAGCTAACTATTCATGCTCTTGTGTTCAACTGTTTGATTTAAACTTTAGACTTTTTATACATTGTCATGTAAGTCAATGAGTAGACTTTTGCTTGAACTGTGAGCATAAAGTCATTATATTGCATGAAGGTGACATAATTGTTGCAGTGCAAATTAATCTGCACATAAGTCACTGAATGGATCACAGAACATTACTCTCTTCATTTCCATGTTGCACAGTAATGAATGGAAACCAATGGCTGCATGGAGAAGGGTGAAATATAACCAAAAATTAAAAAACTGTACTGCCTTTCAGTTTTAAAAAAAGTCAGCAGTGTGTATAATCTGTCACATTAATTTACCAAGTTCAGCAAAATGGACAAAAATGGCCCACAAATGACTGCAAATTGGCTTCAAATGATCTTATAACTTACAACATTTATCAATTATTAAGACTGAATTATGTAATCTTATTTACTTACTATCCTACTGAAATAAAATGACAAAAACTAACACATGAACTCAAATATATTCAAATGTTTCTCAAACAAAAATAAATCCGGATCAGCAGTGAGAATAGTAAACTGTGTTGTTGCACTACAAGTCTACTTTTCTAGTTATTCTACTTTATTTTAAGTTTATCATAATCATTATTATTTACTTCACCTTACTAATCTGTATATACGTAATTTTACACTTGCTTTGACAGTAAGTAAGTCAGTAAACGTCTGATTCCATGCCAATAAAGGCCCTTTGCATTGAACTGAATTGTGTGAAACAGACCTGAAGCAGGCAGAGCATCAGCAGAGAGACAGATCACTGCGCACAACACGATCCTGCAACATCCAAAACAGATAAAACACACTTTATTATAAGGGACACTCAAAACTTAAAACTTAAAAAAACAACAAGATATTAGTTCAACAGTCTCATTTAGATCCATCTGATATTCAGACTCACCTGAGCAGCTGCGTCCGACTCATTGTACCTTTTTCTTCTCAGTAAAAGTAACAGTAAAGTAGTCCTGGATAAACACAACCAAAACTACCAAATATTTCCAAAACGATCCAAACGCGGACTCGTCAGTGTTTGCTGTTTCCTGTCAGGGGGAGGTCAAAGTGCCCATAAATAAAGTTCTCATCCGGAGTGAGCTCACTTTGACCCTTCAGTGATAAAAAAAAATGTAAAAAGAATGAAAGAAGCCTCATGAAATGCAAACACATGAAGCAGTGCGTCCTCCTGCAGCGGCTGTCTGTGGCCTCCGCAGCTTCTTTCTGCTCTCCAGGTGACTCTCAGGCAGGGGGGCGGGGGGGCGGAAGCCCCGCCCACTCCCGATCGCTCTCCGTTTCCGTCTGTCTGTCTGTCTGTCTGTCTGAATCCACAATGATGGAAACTGTCCCAAAATAAATAAATAAAACGAGTTTGGGAGATTTGGGGGATTTTTTATTTAAAAAGCCTGCAGACGTTATAAATAATGTTCACTTGAAAAACATATTGTCGATTTCCTATAGAAGGCCTGCAGCTAATTCTTCAGCTAGTAGCTAGTAGCATGTTCCAATCAATTAAGGAATATTTAGTTTAAATAAAAAAAAAATCATCTGGCGATACATTGCTTTCCTCTGGACAATATGCTTGTAATACTGAAAATGAAATAAAAATATCAAATATAAATATACAATAACTCACTGGCATCCAGCTCCTAGTGAATGTCTGTATTTACAGCAACATTTTTGTGGGGCTTTTATTTTCCTAAACCATTCAGTGCAAAGAATGAAAGTGCAGTGTAATTTATAAAAACAAGAAAATGTCATAATAACAGTATTTGTATACATAAATAGAAGAACAGAGACTGAAATATAACTCAGCTGACAAATGTTACGTTCCCTTTGCTTTATGAGGAAATGTGGACTTTTCTTCAAATGTTTCTTTTCTTTTGTACTTGGAAAACCTCTCTGATCTCCTCTCCCTCTTTCTCACCTTCCGCCTCCACCCCCTCTCTGTCTCTCTCACTGACCCCCCTCCCTCTCTTCATACACATGTATGGTTACTTCGCTCGCCCATCCAACCCTGCCTTCACATGTTAATGAGCCTGCTGCTAAAAGGAAATCCACCTTTAAGGAACACACCCCTCCTTCTCCTCTGCAGACAACAACAAGAGGCTTGATTCTTCTGTTATTCATTTTTCCTTTATACACACAGTCCATCTTCTACCACATATTGTAACAGTGTACAATATAATTAGAATATAATGTGACAAAGACCATATCCTTACCTCTCTCTTCTGTTTAGTGTATAATCACCTCAATATAGGAATTCTTGTGTTTTTGTTACCTTAGAATGAGCCATTGCCCAGAATGGAGAAACCACACTGGCTCTAGGGGCTTTCCTGTTTTTTCACTAGCTTTGCAGCCACCTTAGTTTCTTCTGCATGCTAGGAAGGCTGAACTGTATTCAAATTGTTGCAACTTCACTGCCAAATCCTACACACTAGTCCTTTAATGCCAACTAAATAAATACATCAATAAATTAATGACAGATTCCTTGTAGCATGCAAAGGGATTTGAAACAGCGATTAGTCTTTATGTCGAGAAATAGAATAGTAATGCTCTATTTTATGGCTCAATACATTTCTAATTATTTCCCTAAGAAGTTTCCTGGAATATAATCTTGTACTAATTACAAATAGAAATGAAGTTAGTTCCAAATTACTAAGAGACAAGAACAGCTCCATTCAGATACAATTTGCAGAAACTATATTTGATTGGCTAACTAAATGAAGAACATTTGAAAAGTCTCCAAATAATAAAAAAAAGAGAGACTTTCAAAACTGTTGAGGAATCTCTGTATTTCAAAAACTCATTCCTCGTGTGTTCGTTTAATGAAGCGATAGGAGAAGATTTAGTTTACTCAATAATCAGCTTTATTCTTAACACCAGTAAATTGTACAAAAGTAACAGAGCTCTGGGTTCAACTACGATTAACCTGACATGCACAAGGTCTGCCAGTTCACAAAGTCTGAGCAACCTCTTGTTCCTAACATCAGTTCTTATATTTTTGAAGATAACACACATAGCATAGGATGGTATAATCTCCACCCCTTGTCCTCTTGGTATCTTGTCTCCACGGATGGCGCTGATGGGATCGCCACAACCTGGAACTAATTCAAAACAGAAAGTGGCCTCCTTTCTGACATTCAGTGGTGTGTTATCTAATCATATTTACGACTGGAGGGAGTCCGTCAGGTGTTCTATCATTGTTTTACGAGCTCCTGACACTGACCTCGTAGGCCGTGTTTACCGCTGTCTCTCCCAAAGGATGTCATGTTATATCTGCAACTACCCACACTCTTCTCCCTTATACTGTGTGTACTAAGTTATAATTCTATATCACATCATACAAACATCTAATATTCATTACTTTATTTCTGTTATTAGTATTCCCTTAACAGCCCTTTATCAATGTAAGCATAATCAATGTAAGCACAAGTAAACATATTTCTATTCTAGTTAATAATCATACAGGTAAATATATAGAGTATAAATCACAGAATATCACAACAAAACTATGACTAAAACAGCTTCCTGTCACTTTCCTGAGTTAAGCATGACTTAGTTCTTCATGAGAACACAGTGGTTCAATTGTTTCCACTCAGTTTGCCTCAAATGTTATTTTTCCCCACTCATATACAATGTGTATTATGTCACACCCAGACACCAATATTAGGTATATTGGAGCTATGTGTTTGTTTTTATTTTAATTATTAACATTGCTTAACATTTTGAAAGATAATCAACTGTATTATTAACATGCCAGCTTTCAGAAGCACCATACAGAACATGAAGCATAAGAGGTAAATCATATAGAAAGGAGACATACACAGGCTCTTGGCATTAAGTCTCTACAGTATCTCTTTCTCTGCACATGGAGGACCAGATCATCACCAGACTGTAGTTTTTGTTTCTTGGAGAAAAATGGCACTCATATGTTGTGGTACTTCTCAGCAATAATAGTTTTAATGGAGACAGGTAAAAGCCATAATCTTAGGGGAAATATTTTTGAATAATGAATTACAATCACTTTTTTTGTGGCAGGTTTGGGATGTAATTTCAAATTACTTAATTTTATGTGGTTTCTCTATTTTTTCCCTCTATTTTTATGTTGTCTTTTCCATTTTATCTTTTTTTCCCCCTTAAATCTAAAAAACCATTAGTCATTAAAAAGCCAGTAAATGTGCAATACGTTCACATGTTAATTGATCTGGAGCTGAGTGAGCAACAGGTTATTCAGTGAGTTCAGTATTCAAAAAATCTACAGTTCCTTTTTCAGGTTTATCCTTCAACTCTGGCTTCTGGCATAACACCAGGACTGACCCCCTCCCCCTCCACCCAGCTCTGGTTAATCTGCCTCTGCTTTGACCACAAAGGGACAATTCCACAAGGTGGAAATGGGTATTTAGTAATCTGTGCAGCATCACAATGCAGTCTCATCTCATGCTAATACACAGCAGGGATAGTTAGCAGCAGGAGGGGAAACCTGATCTGAACACAACAGGAAGTCTGCATGTGAAAGCTCTCAGACTGCTGCAAGACACAGAGGGGAAGAGGAAGACACAGATACATGAAGGAAAGCACAACTTTATCATTATATCATGACAGTGAAAGTCTTTCCCCTGACTGATGCTGGCAGTGGGGGTCCACTAAAGCACACTCAGCACTGACTCTCAGGTCAGTAGGTTTATCTGAAGGGCCCCAATATAATGGATATATTGGATAATATATTCCAGAATTGGCGGTCAGCAAACATCTTGTAAAAAGCTTGATAAGACTAGAAAGTAATTAACTTCGGTTTCACATGTTCAGTTTCAGAGTCTAAAACCAACAATGAATTTATCCATGCTGTAAAACTTCACGGTCACACACAGTTGTCACTGGAGAGAAAACCTGTGGAGCTCCACAGAGCTGCAGGCTGAGCTGGACCACATGGCTCTGTGACTCCCTCTGGTGGCTGATTTATAAAACACATTCAACATAAAACTGTGACTTTGGAAAACATAAAAAGGGTCAGTTCCCTAAAATAAGTCAGCATATATCATCTTAAAGGTCCAGTGTGGAGTATTTAGTGGCATCTAGCAGTGAAGCTGCAGATTGCAACCAATTTAACACCACTGACGTCTGTGAGAATGGGCTGTGAAGTGTGTAGGAGAAACTAAGGTGGTTGTGAAACTCGCAAAAAAAACACAAAAGGCCCTATCTTCAGCCAGTGTTTGGTTTGTCTGTTCTCGGCTACTTGGCGGTTCAACATGGCAGACTCCACAGAAGATACGCTGCTCTGTAGATAAAAACGGCTCATTCAAAAGTATCAAAAACATTTTTAATTTTCAGGTGATTATACACTCATTGAAACATACCTATTACTTTTATATTCCATTTCTGTCAATAGAGCCTGCTAAATGTTACACACTGGACCTTTAACTGATGGCTTTAGTTTGGAGAAATCAGATACCCTGGTAGCATCTCCAGTGATTGCCAACCACTACACCAGTACTTGTACACCAGGGGGTGCTTCTGCAGTTGCCAGGGGGTACGTGAAAAAATTATTGAATAACTCATTTAAAAAACATATATGGACATATTGTATCAGCTGTAACAGAGTGTAGAAACACTAGTTAGTAAGCGAGCACAGAAGTCTCCAGTTCTGTACTGTCTAGTACATTATCCAAAATGCTGAACTTTTTCTTTAAAATGACCATAACCACTGTAAAACATTTGACTAGCTGGTATAAAAGACAATAAAAGTGCTTCACATAACACAACACAGACATGTTTGTTTTATAAATATGGTTCATAACTTTAATAAATGCAGTTTGAATTTATACATTATCTTTACAACAATGCAGTAAAGATACACAGCACTGTACTGTACACTGTTAAGACTGAGCTCTGCATCATCTTACACATCTACACCACTGAACGTGACATTTCTTCATATTTCTATACATTTGAACAAATTCCTCCTCTCTCTTAAAGTGCGTTATATTCCCAGACTGTCACTAACTCATGAGTTCAAGAATGTGTGACAACATGCTCACTGTTTGGTTGATGGGTAGAAATTTGTTTGCTAAATTGTGCAGCTTTTCGGTGGTCTGTTGTTTGGATTCATTAAGCCGTCACACATCAGTCTCACAATGCGTCCTTTGTGGTTTTTTGGGAAATTTTCTGATATCAGCTTCACTTGAACAGTGTTATTTAATCATTTCTTCCCAGTCAGCCAACCCAGTGAATCCCTTCATTCAAATGGACATTGAATCATGTTGAATTTTTATAGCAATAGAGGATAGTTAGTTAACGTTAGCATTTTTTGAGGTCAGGGGAATCAGCTACAATGGTAAAAGAGACAGAACAGACTAGCCCACAAAGAGACAATATTACCTTTTCTATGAGTACACCTCCTTGTGTGATAGTTATTATTAATCATATATATATATATATTATAATAATATTTTACACTTTAAACAGTTTCATTCAACTTATAAGTGTTACTGCCTCAAATGGAACTCGAGGTTGTGTTTTCAACAGGGCAATAGGAGTGTTAAGTGTTAAAAAGGTTTAAGTTGTAAGAACACAAAGAAACTGCCCGCAAAAGTGAGGTGTCCTTGTTTGGTAGTGAATGGCGTTATGATCTTCAGTGAGAGGAGATGACTAAGACGATTTTTAGGGCTAGGTATTGTTAGTGGTGGTATGATACCTTGCTTTCTATATGAAAAACCACTCAGTGCTTTAAGAAATAGTTCCTTCTTTACATTTTACAAAAGAACAAAAAGGGAAACTGTACAACTTTGCTAAGTATGGTGAGACAAAGTTGCAACAGGAAGTTTCTTAACTGTGACCAGACATAATGTAAGGCATTACAATTTGAAATTACCATTACTAATCTCAGTAACGCTCTGGTGCTTTGACATTTGAGCTTTGTCACTGTCTTACCAGGAATTAGATGGAGGATATCAGTCCAGGACCTAGCTGCTAGCATGGCGACCACCAAACCAGGAGGGTGTATCACACATTATGCACGCACCATAGCCATTTGCAGTCACTGGGGTTAAGCTAGCTGCTGGATGGTCAGTAAAATTGTAGGTGACTGCTTGTTAAACTACAATGTGGTTCTCTTGAGTAATGAGTAAAGTAAAATGATTAAAGTAAATTACTTTTTTACCTTAGGTAATATGTAATGATTTTCAAGTAACCTGTCGTTGATCTAAACACAGGTAGACATACAAGCACGTCATCCAATCATAAATAAGCTAAATTTGGACAGAAATCAGGACCCATCTGCTCAAAGTGTAAGACCAGTCGATGCCAGTTAATGGTTCTACGGACACAGTGAGTACCAAGTCGACCCAGACCCTCTAACTTCTCTAGGCGCCGTTATTTCTAAAATGTCAATGTACTTCACAACTCATAACCTTTAGCTTTTAGAAAACTTCAACTTTCCTCTTCTTCTTCTTCTTCCTCCTCCTCCTCTTCCTCTTCTTCTTCTTCTTCTTCAGTGCCTACACCCTTTGCTGCAGTCTTGGTCATCTTCCAGCTCAGAGTCCATTCACTCTTCGGCATACCTTGTTCTTCATGCATCAGTCCCATGTACCTCTGACTCCGGTTCTTGGTGGAGAAACACGCCACCTCGTCCTCATCCGCCTTCTTCCATCGACATATCCTCCACGACTGTTTCCATGCTCGCCACTCCTCCTCTTCCTCCCCCTCCTCCTCATCTTCCTCACATTCATCTCCTCCTCTGTGAGCCACCGCCACCATCCACGACTGCTTCCAGGAGGAGAAGGAGGCGTTGATTTTGTGGAACTGTAGATGGAGTGGGACGTCAGGTTTGATTCGTTTCTTTTTCTTTACTACTGTGTTGTCCTCGTCTTTCTCGTTTACTTTTTCGTGGTCATCCTCCGTTTTTGCTGCCATCTCCTCTACTTGAGCGTCTTCTTTGTCAGTATCCTCCTCCTCCTCTACATCTTCATCTTCGTCCTCCTCGTCTTCATCCTCGTCCTCCTCGTCTGCTTCTTCATCCTCCTCATTGACCACTTCTTTGTCCTTTTCATCTTTTTTGTCCTCCTTTGCTTTGTCATCCTCGTCCTCCTCGTCTGCTTCTTCGTCCTCCTCCTCCTCGTCTATTTCTTCATCCTCTTCCTCCTCATTGTCCCCTCTGTCCTTTTCATCCTTTTTGTCCTCCTCCTTTGCTTTGTCATCATCTTCCTCCTTGTCTACAACTTCATCCTGGTCCTCATCTACATCTTCGTCCTCCTCATTGTCCACTTTGTTCGTTTCATCTTTTTGGTCCTCCTTTGCTTTGTCATCCTTGTCCTCCTCATCTACTCCTTCGTCATCGTCGTCGTCGTCTTCGTCCTCCTCCTCCTCATTATCCACTTCTTTTTCCTTTTTATCCTCCGCATCTGCTTCTTTATCTTCCTCAGTGTCTTCTTCTCTTTTGTGGTCTTCATCTGCTTCATCTTCATCATCCTCTTCTTCTTCTACACTATCCTCCTCTTCATCTACTTCTTTACTTTTCACCTCCTTGTCTACTTTGTCCCCTTTCTTGCCTGCTTTTTCTTCCTCCTCTTTTTTCTCTGCCCATTCTATGTCAAACTCTTTCTCTTCGTCTTCATCCTCTTCCTCCTCGTCTTCCTCTACATTTTTGTCGTTGTTCTCGTCTTTTTCTTTGTCCTCCTTCTCCTTGTCCACTTTATCTTGCCAGTCCTTCTTGTTTGCTATTTTGTCCTCCTCCTCCTCCTCCTGTGTGTCCTCATACTCCTCATCCTCATCCTCTTCCTCCTCCTCCTGTACTTCCAAATATTCCTCATTCTCGTCCTCTTCCTCCTCCTCCTCCTCCTCCTCCTCCTGTACTTCCACATACTCCTCATCCTCGTCCTCTTCCTCCTCCTCCTCAACTTTTTTGTCTTCCTGTTCCTTGTCTACAACAACTTCCTGGTACTTTTTGTTTGCTATTTTGTCCGTTTCCTCATGTACTTCTTTATTCTCCTCCTCCTCCTCTTCCTCCTCACTTTGTTTATCTTCCTCCTCCTCCTCCTCTACATTTTTGTCCTTATTCTTGTCTTTTTCTTCCTCCTCGTTATCTACTTCATCGTTCTTGTCTTTTTGTTTTGCTTCTGTGTCCTCCTCATCTACTTCTTTGTCCTCCTCCTCCTCCTCCTCCTCCTCCTCCTCCTCCTCCTCATCTTCCTCACCATTTTGGTTTATGTTTTTGTCCTCCTCCTCTTCCTTGTGTATATGTTTGCCTCTCTCCTCCTCATGTTCTTTGCCCTCCTCTTTATGCACTTCACTGTTTTCATTCTTCTCCTTTACGTCCTCCTCCTCGTCATCCTCCTCGTCCTCTTCTTCTTCTTCTTCTTCTTCTTCTTCTTCTTCCTCGCTTTCCTTCTCCTTATCCAAATCTCTGTCCTCCTCCTTCTTCTTTATTACCGCTTCATCCTTGTTTACTTCTTTGTCCTTCTCCTTGCTGTCAACCTCTTCGTCCTCTTCTTCCTCCTCATCAACTCCTTCATCTTCCTCCTCCTCATCTTCTTCAACCTCCTCATCCATCTTGTTAATTTCTTCCTCTTCTACACCTTCATCCTCTTCATTGTCCACTCCCTCATCCTCGTCCTCTTGTTCCACCTCCTCCTCTTTGTCATCCATCTCCTCTTCCTCCTCTTCGTCTTCCTCCTCGTCTTCCTCTTCTTCCTCCTCTGTGTCATCCATCATCTCCTCCACTTCACCCTCCTCCTGCGTCTTGTCCAGTTCAACCTCCTCTGGTTGGATCCATTGTTTAGGAGTCCTCCAGGCCTCCGTCCACTCTGTGCTATCTGGGATCTCATCTTCTAGCTGGGCTGTGAGAAGGCGGTTCAAGGTGTTGCGTCTCCTCGTCAGCATGGCGCCGTGTCGATGATGGGACTCCAGTGAAGCCTCACACCACCTGTGGATACAGTCGTAGGTTCGGTTTTATTTTGGTAAGATCAGTTTGAGTCATTCAACCACATCTCATAGCCTCCATCAGAGCTAAGACAACTGAGCCAACAATGGTATTATCTAAGACAGTGAGATGTAAAACAAACAAAAACATGTAGAATCTATTTTCTACTATTTCTACTATTAAATCAATTTCACTACTGTCCAGTAAAAGGACATTAATTAACTTCAATAATCAATTATCAATAAACTTATGAAAGTAAGGCAGGACATTGTTATTGATGATTGATGAATATTTCTAATCATCATCAATAACCTGCTCTATTTGAAAAGTGTCCTGAGATAACTTCTGTTATGAACTCGCACTATACAAATAAAATTGAATTGAATTGAATTGAATTGAATCATGCCCGCCAACTAATTATGGATTACTTGGGAGTAATTAGTATCAGTAATCACAAATTAGCAGCAATACCTGGTGTCAACTGTCATGCATTATTGTAAGACATTTTTCAAATCAAAAGTTTTTCACAAATTCCACTACTATTTATTTCTTTATTTTCATTTAAATATCTGGTTGTCTGGCATATTGGTATTTGTCCATTCCAGACTGCAAATTGACCAGTGCCATCAGGTTAACCTAGGTGCACGCTAGAAAAGTGCTTAACAATCTAGGTATGGTTCACTCAATGCCAACCCACCTGATTTGCTGCCTATATCCCCAGCAGGAGCTCCAGTTCTTGTAAAGTTCTTCTGCTTCCTCCAGAGGAGCTGCAGAGAGCAGCCATGAGTCACTCCACCCAGGCAGGAACACGTTGTTTATCCTCATCATCACTGTGGTTTCAGTGCTGAAGAAGCTTGTAGTTATTTCATCATCATCTGTGGAGTCTATTTGCTCAAGTTCTGCCCCGGACAGTTTCCACGAGTCCTCCCAGTCCAAGGGCTCGTCCTGTTTAATGATCACAACATATATTTCTTAAAAACGATAATAAAAATGGGTGTCCTGGTTGTTCAATGGTCATTAGCATCGGGTCTCTGACTTGACATGTATCTGTCATTATCAGTTTCTATGTGGCCAACAAAGTCAAAAGAGAAAAAAACATCAATGAAACAGTAATTGTAATGATGTTGATCCCCACCTGCTCCTCTAGTTCTTGTACTTTGTCAAGCTTGTCGCTGAGGTTTAGTTCGTAATCCGGCCAGGTGCGATCCCACTTCTGTTTCTGCTGTCTGAAGGGAAAGTTTATCCACTTCCAAGTACCAGCCCAGACAGGAAGAGAATAATTTTCTATCTCAGCTTTACGAAACTGTTTCCTTTCAAACAAAATCTTCCACTGGAATTCTTTCTCTTCAGAGCACTCCAACTGTGCTGGACTCTTCACCTGGAAACAAAACAATGAAGAGGGAAGATAGTTTACAAAGGGTTAATTAGTCACTTTGTACCTACCCCACAAGGGTCTCTGTTCTCTTGTGATCTGGGGAAGTCATGGATTAATCATCTTGAGATAGATGTTATTTATGTGATTGACAGCTACACAAACCCTTCCTAGTCCTGACTGGATGAACACACCGCCTGCTATGCTTTATGCATGTATATAGTAATGAATCTGTAATTTGTTGTAGCTGGAAAACTGATATTTAAATGTACTACAATTTTTTTAGTTTTTTACTGGCTATGAAACAGTCTCAATTTAGTAATGATGCCTCAATGTGACATACATAAACAAACAAGACCATCAGTGAGATGGTTATTGGAAGCCTATTTTTCCATAATGACGCCAGGGGTCGGAGCAAAGGAGAGTATCAGTCAATTAAGCATTCTGGTTTCTGTCTGTGTCTGTGTCTATTTGTCAACCTACAACTGAAATGAAAACATTGCAAGCTCCGTGCACATTCATTGGAGTGACCTGTGCAGGTTGCCCCAGCCACACAGCTGATCTGATCTGAGTTTCAGGTAAAGGTTGGTTTGACAGGTTTGGATGCCAGAACACTATCTGTCTGAATGCATAGTTTCAATGAAGTACAATCCTCATTCAGCATTAAATAATGTTTAATACAATACTGTGCTTCCAGCTGTGTTTGATATTATTCTGTTTCAACATAACAATGCCCCTGTGCACAAAGCCAGCTCCATAAAAAATTGTTTTCCAAGTTTGGAGTGGAAGAACTTGACTGGCCTGCATAGAGACCTGACCTCAACCCCATCCAACACCTTTGGGATGAACTAGAATGCTGACTGAGAGCTAGACTTTGTTCTTGTGGCTGAATGGGAGCAAATTCCAGCAGCCAGGTTTAGAAATCTGCCTGAAATTCTGAATCCAGAAGAGTGGAGGCTGATGTAAGCGCAATTAATGCCCAGGGTTTTGGAATGAGATGCACAACGGTCACAATGGTTGCAATGTTCCTTTGACCACATTCTTTTGAAGTGTACTGTATGTTGACTGTTCCTTCTATCTCGTCAAGGCAGCAGTTCTGGCAAAATAAATTATTTTGTCCAGTTCAGTCCAGTCCAGTTCTGCACTGGTACTTTCTGCTTCGAGGAAATAGTCATATGCACAGTCCCACACTGACTAAAGCTCTCACCTTCTTCCATCTACTAAATGAAGGCAACATAACACTCTGAACCTCCCAGCACTAGCCAAAAACCTTTCCCAACTCACACACTTTGCCCGAAGCATGGCTGGAACCATATCTGAAAACTGACCAATTGTCTGGCTTTTAGTGTCTTTCAATGTGGAACTATTAGTTTGTGGTAAGTCTCAGTACCTGTTTCCAGGAATTACGCCATTTCACAGCAGGAGACACCCATTCAGTCTCTGATCCGTACTCCTTTGGTTTGTACTTCCTGTTGTTAGTCAGCTCTATGGTTGTGAATCCTCGGCTTCTGGCTCTTGACTCTTTGGCCTTGAGGTAAAGGTACTTTGGAGGCTTCATGCTCATCCAGGACTCCCTCCAACAAATCCGGAAGACATCAACCTCAACTTTGCGTTTCAGCCTAAGAGGTTTGGGAGCAGCTTCTTTCTTGGGAGGTGGCGGTGGAGGAGGCTCAGGTTTGGTTTTGGGAGGAGGCGGGACAACTTTGAATTTGATTTTGGGCTTGTTTTTTTCTTCTTCATTTGTGCCACCGGTGACCTTCTTGAATTCTCCCTTTGAAACAAGTGACCAGTGATAATTCCACTTTGAGTAAGATCTGCAGATTCAAAAAACAAACAAAAAACATGTCAGATCAAGATTTGTCAGAACGAGTGGACACTGAGAAACATAGCTCTGACAAGTATAGACGAATCTGGCGGCTGGTTAATATTTTGCGCTCTTAAGAGCTGCCAACATTAGTGCAGCGGCACGGTTTAACTGAACACAGAGATGTTTAGGTAGTTCATGATCGCCAGTAGACACTGTAATGTAGGTTTTCTCTTTTTAAGCGCTTTTGCCATGAAAACTGTTTAGGTGATCCCATAGGAGTCTATATGTTGAAAATATAAATTAAACATAAAACATTTAGTCGAGTATTAACAAACGCCTGCTACATGAAAGTTCAACTTTGGAAAAAATGGAAACTAAAAGCCACAAACATCTACTCAACAAAAGACTGAGCGCATAGAGATGGTGAGCCACCACCATCATATATTTATGAAATAATTAATCTCTGAAATCATGGAGTGCAATGATTTACACTTTAGCATCCACTTTCAAGTCAGACAGAAGTGGTACACTAATGTTAGTTTTCACCAAAGCTTTTGTCATAACTGATTTACTGTATGACCTTGAATACAACCAATTTGGATTGATAATGGCAGGAAGTGATGCTGAGACAAATACACAGTCTGCTGGCCTTAAGTCACAAAACAGTACTGTGTGTATTATATTTGGAGAATACAATGTGCTTCTGTAGCACCATTGCATTTGACTTTTTTAATCCAATGTGTATATTTAAGTGTGGCCCTTATTGAGCATTTCTATTTAATTGTAATAGATTACAGTGAATCTCACAGCTGGTCTGTGGTGCTACATTGCCAGAAAAATAGGCATGCTTTTTTTGCCTTTTCCTTTCAGGAACAGGCTCCACAAATTAGTTGGTTAGTTTTGGCTATCAAGTTAGAGCCAATCGAGCTGAGGCAGAACTTTAGAAAAGTTTTTTCTGAGATTTGAATTGTTGGAGCTTGTTCAAAGTGAAGGAGTAAATCCTGGAAGAGATGACTGAGTTCCTAACTATAAGCTGTTGCAAGTGATTCAGTAATTTGTTGAATTTGTGTTGCACATTACATAATAACCAATTGCTGAATGGGCTGACAAGTATAGCAAAAGCCTTAGAGCCAGTTCACATCCAGGTATTAACATGATTGTAGCCACAGTTTCATATTTAGATCTTGGATTCACTTTGTAATATGCTAAAATGTTCATCACTGTACAAAGCTATCACCTTACAGTTGTGATACAAAAACAACTCATAGCATCATATATTCTCACATTTTTTTCTCACTATTCTCCTTCCATTCAGCCTCCTGTTTGTTCTGCTCTGCCAAGCTCTGAGCTCTCTTCTCCCATTGGTCTCTCAGCGGCCCGTTGCTGAATGATCTCCGCTCCTCCTTTTTTGACAACATCCTGTTTCCTAAAAGACACACAAACAAGCAATAAACACCAGAAAGAGGTAAAGCGTGTCACTAATAATGTTAAGTTGCATTTCTACAGTAACTGTTTGTAGCTTGTTGCTGGGAAGTAATCTCCAGACATGTGATACTAATGGGGTCAGTTGCTGAACAGAGTTTTGTTCCCCAACATGGGCTTCATCAGCAGAATCATAAATGTGCATAGTCACAATTCCCAACAGCACATGAACACACCACAACACAACAACAAGGGTCAGGTTGTTGATTTGTTTAAGTAATGCCTGTGCTGACCGCTTTCCAACAATATTATTATATTATGTTATCAATATACAATATTATCCTACAGGTGTTTCTGTTGAATTTACAACAGTACAAGCATCAAATTGTAGATATAGCAGGACATCTTTAAAGGTCCAGTGAGTAACATTTAGAAATTGAATATAATATATAGGTATGTTTTCATTAGTATATAATCACCTAAAAATAAGAACCATTGTGTTTTTGTTATTTTAGAATGAGATGTTTTCATCTACAGCGGGAGCAGGTCTTCTTGAACCACTATACCACTAAATCCCTTTGGGATAAATATATAAATAATAAGAAATGTTAACTACTCTGGACAAGTGTCATTTCTGAACACCTCCTGTTTCCTCCTTCTTGCTTTCAAAATATTCTACACTAGACATATAAAACATTAATCATATATATGCAGAATTCCCATTAATCTCCAGTATTCATACATACCTACATTCATCTATTGATACATACCTACAGTACAATATGAGACAGATAGAGGTTTAGTCCAGTTTTGGTCCAGTTCTCAGTGTAGTGTCTTGTTGAAGACTGACTCATCTAACTGGGACACAAGACGACAGGCGTCACTCTATAAATAAAAATTGCTCAGCAGCGTGCTTCACAGAGCAACAACAACAAGAAAGCACCACTGCACTGAGTCTGTAAGATACTGGTTCTATTGGTGGGTTTGAGATCTAAAAATTACTATGATGACCATTATTTAATACTGCATTATTATCTACATTATTATTAAACCTTCTCATTTCTGTCAACTCAATTTAATAATGCTTCATTTTATAAACCATTTTCTAGATTATTTTCATCTAAACACAAAACATTTTTGTCTTTATTTGGATGCTTTTTATTGGAAAAAAGGCAAATGTGTACATTAATTAAAATGATAATGTTTATTTGGTTTGGTTTATCACAGCTTTAATCCCTGTCTGTCTGGAGGAAGGACTCTGGGTATTACCACTGTCTGTGTTGATAAATGAGTTATCCAAATAACGATGATTTAAAATTAGGAAATGAGCTCAGGCCTCCTCTCACCAGCTGCACACGATGATATTAAAGAAGTCCCAGATGAAAACTGCTGAGAATCAAATAACAATGACCTGTGAAGTGTTTCTTACAACTACGGATACAGGTTAACACAGGCAGTGGTGGACTCAGGCTTTCTGAGGGGCTGGGGCGAAAGTTATGATACATTTATGTTGAAAACTTCTTAGTCAGGATTAGGATTAGCATACTAGAGACCCCCCTGAGACTACCAGTGAACACAGTTAAATCTATTCCCTCCATTCCAAGGGTCCTATGTTCACTAACATTGTAAGAGATTGGTAAGGGCTATCATCACAGATCAAATAGCAAAAGAATGGGTAACACTTTATAATGAGTACACACTATTAAGCATTAGTTAAGCTTGAATAAATACTGAATTCATCATTTATAACGCATGAATACACATTAGTATGTAGTTTATAAACACAGTCAAAAATGTTTTATTCATCATTGATAAGCACATTAGTTATGGATTAGTAAATACTGAATTCATCATTTATAAAGCATGATTCTGCTGTAAATAGTCATTACTATGTGGTTTATAATCACAGTTATAAATGTTTTACTCTTCATTGTACTGTACATTTCTGCATGCACTTGCACATCCACTATTCAGACATGTATTAATGATTAGTGACTGTGTTAGCAGATGTTCTATAAAAACTCACAACAAATTCATTTTCTAATGATGGCCTATAAACAGTTATTAATGCAGGAATTCACAGTTACAAAGCACTTACTACTCCTTCATTAAGTATTTTGCACGAGCTTATCTAAAGTGAGCACTATCTATGGCTTATTAAGGATTTACAAATGAGATATAAAGGCTGACAATGCCTCGAGACTCACAAAGTCCCGCTCTCAGCACGTCATCACGTTGATGACGTGCTGAGAGCGGGACTTTACGTTACGTCATATTTACGTTAACTCTCAGAAGTTTCTGACAGTGCAGCCAAGGGGAGCATGGAGAAGCACATTGGAGTCGGCTCGTCGGCACTAGTGGAGAGTATGTGTCTTTGTTTGGTAGCACACATTATGGTTGAAAGATAACGTTAGCTTGTCACTTGACACTAACGACTAACGTTACCGACCCGCCCGCAGTGGCTAAGCCGACCTGCCGCTGCTAGGCACTCACCTCGCCCGGCTAGACGAGACTAGACTAGGTCGGCTTAGCCACCGCGGGCGGGTCGGTAACGTTAGTAACGTTAGTAACGTGAGTCGGGGAGCGAGGGCAAACACCTGCAGCTGCTGACAAGCTAACGTTATCTTTCAACCATAATGTGTGCTACCAAACAAAGACACATACTCACCACTAGTGCCGACGAGCCGACTCCAATGTGCTTCTCCATGCTCCCCTTGGCTGCACTGTCAGAAACTTCTGAGAGTTAACGTAAATATGACGTAACATTGCTAGCTCAACGTACACGTCCCAAACAGATAAGATCACAACAATAGCATGTCTTCATAAACCAGCCTTGTTCGTCTTCAAACAAATATGTTGGGAAGTTGCAGTAAATATCAATACAATATGTTCTATATCCCTTTGTGTTGTGTCTCTCCTTCGTCTGTTAAGATAACTGAACATTTTGTGAGTCTCGAGGCATTGTCAGCCTTTATATCTCATTTGTAAATCCTTAATAAGCCATAGATAGTGCTCACTTTAGATGAGCTCGTGCAAAATACTTAATTAAGGAGTAGTAAGTGCTTTGTAACTGTGAATTCCTGCATTAATAACTGTTTATAGGCCATCATTAGAAAATGAATTTGTTGTGAGTTTTTATAGACCATCTGCTAACACAGTCACTAATCATTAATACATGTCTGAATAGTGGATGTGTAAGTGCATGCAGAAATGTACAGTACAATGAAGAGTAAAACATTTATAACTGCGATTATAAACCACATAGTAATGACTATTTACAGCAGAAACATGCTTTATAAATGATGAATTCAGTATTTACTAATCCATAACTAATGTGCTTATCAATGATGAAGAAGAATAAAACATTTTTAACTGTGTTTATAAACTACATACTAATGTGTATTCATGTGTTATAAATGATGAATTCAGTATTTATTCATGCTTAACTAATGCTTAATAGTGTGTACTCATTATAAAGTGTTACCAAAGAAGGCTTCAAATGCAGGTCATATGGTGAAAATCTGTTCAGCCACTGTAGAGATATCAATGTCTGAAGTCAAGAAAACTGTCTTTGAAGGTGTAGGTTTCTGGAGGCCTACATCAGTAGGTAGGTGGGTGACTTCATCAGACCCCGGCTGCATTCTCACTAGAGTTGGTGGAAGCTTTAGAAATTCAGAAATTACAGTGAGTGGTCCTCCTTTGAATTTCACAGACCATTGTGCTGTCTGCTTTTCTGCACCTTGTACCTTTTTACAGTACAAGTGGCTAAGCTAACAATGCTATATGGCAAAGTAGGTGGGGAAACTGCAGTACATACATACATAGCCATGTAATGTCATTTTATTCACATCAATTGACGCCCATAGCACACATGGGATTAGTTACATGGAAGAATAGACCTTTTTCACAGCAGCCATTTTCATATGAAATAGTAGGATAAACACAGTTAAAAAACATGGTAAAATGGCTGCTGTGAAAAAGGTCTAATACAGTACAGTAAACTGCATGTTTTAACTGTTTTCACATATAACACCTGTAAACAGACTTGATGTGTGAAATACATATAACTTTTTCTTGGGTTACCTTCATTGGTCACATGACCTTCAGCCAGTAGCTTAGCACTATGAATGTATATGATCAAGCACCTTCAAAACTGAAAAAATACCCCAACAACTCCAGCATTTTAGATTTAAACCAAAAAATCCAATCCTGACTTACCTGATGTCTTTCTCTCAGTCTGCCTTTCTCTCTGTTTACATCCCCTGCTGTAACCAATTATACATTAAGGTGACTTACAGTGTCTGTCCACTGTCTGTCTCTCAGCCTGTCTGCCTCTAATCTTTGAAGTAGCTACAAAGGTACCTATCTGTCTGTCAGTTTATCACTGTCTGTCTTCAGTCTGTTTCTGTAGTTAACTTTTATCAGCTTACACCCAGTGTGTCCTGTGTATCTGCTCTGGGGCGAGCAGGCTTCCCCCCTCCTTGCTATTTTTACACCATACGTTAACAGATCCAGAGCTGCAGCTCTAAATTTAGTGCCAGGGTGAGGCAAACACGAGGAGAGCAGCCAGCAGCTTGGAAATGCAGAGATGTGACTTGAATTGAGTGAAACACTTATATGACATTAATCTTTATTCAACAGGTGCAACAACACTAACAGACAGTGCAGCTGTAAGCACGCCTGAGCCAATCAGACACCAGTGCTGTGAGCGAACCAGAGTCATTCTGCATGCTGAAACACAGCACTGACACACATTACTTTTGCAAAGATCCAATTAGAAGCTCTCTCCCCCTGGTGGGCAGGCTGTCAGTGTGAGGGTTGTCATAGAGTTCGAGGGTGTTCCTGCAGTAAAAATGTTCTTTTTCTTATAGACAGTTTCAGGTCACTGACAGTTGGAGGAATTCAAGGCTTGGATGGACATGAAACACTCCTGGTTGAATTATCATTACAAAAGATAAAAAACTGGGAACTAGGGCTGCCCCCCAAATGTTGTCAGTCAAGAGGACCCAGAGTTGATTTGCATTCTGTCAGTTGAATCTCTGCAGTTTTGTTATTCAGCTGTGTCATTGTAAACAGAGTGACAGCATAACAGGGTGTAAACTGTTATGCAAACAGAGTCTCAAAATGAGAAAAGATAGTTAACGGAGGAAAGCGTAACACTGGACATCGGGGCAGTGGCTGCTCCGAAGCTCTATGCTCCGGTGCTGACTGTCATTGAAGTCATTTATGTAATTCCAATACTGTTGTGGGACCAAAGAAATAACACATTTCCATTTTTTTTTTTTTTTAAGAAAAAGAAAATAACTGCATGGTTTTTGCCCACAAACTGGGAAACTGGGAATAAGCATAAAGTGGACATGTCTGCTGAGGGGAGACTCATGGGTACCCATAGAACCCATTTTCATTCAGATACCTCGGGGTCAGAGGTCATGGATCCCTTTGAAAATGGCAATGTTAGTTTTTCCATCACCAAAAATTAGCCTAATTTTGGAATGTTATTTAGGCCCCTTCCCAACATGTTAGCATGACATTGGTACCAATTGGTACCAATGGATGCATTAGGTCATCTAGTTTCACATGATGCCACACTTCACTAGCTGTAAAACAGAGCCTGCTACAGCCTCTGAAAGATGCCCTGGTAATCTGATTGGCCACCCTAGACCCCCCATGTGGACACGCCTCTGCTCATCAGAAGCAAGATATCCTTTTTTTCTCGTCATACTGTTGGACAAAACAACTCATTTCTATCTGCCCATCAGTATTTATGACAGATGAGGTCCAGCAGAAACCGGTCTAATGATGCTGGTAAACAACTATTTCTTCATGACCAACTCCGAGGATAAATAAAGCCTCAGCAAAGTGCAGCATGACTCAGCAGAATAAACAGTGTTTGGTGATCGGATGAGTTCGCGTGGGACTGATGATGCAAAATAACATCACTGAATAACTCAATGAATGAGTTAGCTGTCAGTCCATGTAACTTCAGGTTTACACCTCTTTTAAAACCTGATCAGACAGTGAGCACAAGACACCTGTTGTATGTCGTAATGTAGACAAACAACAGGTGTGAACACAAGCTAATAATGTGAATTACTGAACTTTCTTGATACATATTAAAGCAGGAGAGCTGCTACCACTGCTGCTGGTCACAGGTCAGTTTTCTCTGAGGTCACACAGCAGCAGGAGACCCCTTCACCTGTAACAGGATCCCCAGGTCGCCCTGCTGCTGATGACTGAAAACTGCAGCAGGTCAATTTGAGCTGCAGACCAGGTGGTCTCACTACTATTTTTATGACAACCACTCTATTTTCATCTATTTGCACAGACCGTTTTCAGTTGCATATATGTATAAAACAACATGCATTGAATGAATGTTTACATTTACACATATATTGATGTTAAAAATCTATGGATTCCTTCCAGCAGCCATCTTTGTCACTTGCTGGAGCCATAAAATCCTAATAAAGTTACAAATTGAAAGGAACTGCTGGTTTTTGAAATATTTCTTCCCCACTGTAATTTGTAATATGCTTTTAATGGTTAAACACCTGTATGTTCCTCAACATAGAAACACTTCACCATACTATAGAACTAATCACAATGTTTGTTTACTGTCATTTCCGCGTAGCCTACATACAAATGAATGGCAGCAACGAAAGTAAACCAAAGAAAACTTCTTGGTACTGCTATTTTGCTGCATAGATTGCAAGCCAGGGTACACAACATAAAACAAGAGGACACAACTGAGAGAGTTTAGCTGGATGTCTGACCGGCCGTGAGATTTCTCTGTTGGTTTATTAAAGGCACTAGCAACAGGAGCTAGAGGGGCATTGGCCACCCCTGAAATCTGATTGGCCACCCCTAGTGCCACCCCATTCCTCTTCAACTCGCACTATATTTCAGAGGCTGCAGCGAACAGGTTTTAAAGCTACAGTGAAGATACTGGTGTCATATAAAACTAGACTTAACGCATCAATTAGTACCAATCATGTCATGCTTTCATGTCAGAAGAGGAATTTTGGCGATTAAAAAACTGGCATGGCCATTTTCAAAGGAAACCTTTGACCTCTGACCTCAAGATATTTGAATAAAAATGGGTTCTATGGGTACCTACAAGTCTCCCTTTTTAGACATACCCACTTTATGCTAACCCATAGAGCTTGTGGAATAAAACCATACCGGTTTTTGCATGCAGTATAAATTTATTATTATGTATTTGAATATTTCTGCATACTGGGTTCCTTATTGGAATTGCATAAATTAGGAATGATTGGAAAGCTGAGACACACACTTCATGCCACCCCTGCATAAGTCTTGTGCCACTCCAGTTAAAAAAGTCTATCAAGGTAACACAGTACATAAAATAAGTACAGCAGAAACGTCAGATAGGTCAGACTGTGTTTAACTATGTATATATACAGTATACCTTTACACGTTACAGTAGTAATGGCTGACAACAGAAATGTAAAAAAATTGCCCATTTTACGTATCTTCGTCATTCAAATCAGTTGTCAGTTGTCTACCCGGACGTGACTGTTGTTAATGCACCGTCACTGTGATTCAGCCTATAGATTTATGTTCTAATGATCAGTTTGGATTATTTCACCTTTATTTCTGAGAATTCATATTTTTTTTATGTCAGTTTAGCAGATGTCTCTCAATGCTATAATACCCATGAGCCTCAGCTGCAGTTGGTATGGAAGACAAGCCAATCAAAGTATGATTGTAACAATGCTCTATTGTTACAATCAGGAATCAAACCTGCCGCCACAGTGACTGAATTCATCCAAAATTGATCCACAATATGGTTTTTAAACTGTTGTGCTACCTGCTGCATTTTTCCTCCAGTCCTGTCCTGCTTGGTCTGCAGTAAGTGGATTTAATACTTTATTTTACTGTATTGCAAATTGGCCTCCCTGCCAGTATAAATTGTTTTGATATGACATATTCACAGGGGAATATTTCAAAGTACCTTTGACTTTGTAGCCATTCGCTGCATGGCTCTAGTCCAGGCTGAAATATCTCAATACTACTGGATGGATTGGCATGACATTTTGTACAGACATTCATTACGTCTTCAGGATGAATTGTAATAACTTTAGTGTTCCTCTGACTTTTCATCCAGTGCCATTGTCAGGTCAAAATTGTAATTAGTCAAATTGGTTGGTTTAAACCCTTTTGAACTAATGACATTCCCATCAGTCTCTGGGCTGTACTTACGGTTGAGTGCTAATTAGCAAAAAATGGCATGCTAACATTCTAAAATAATATGGTGAGCATGGTAAAAATTGTACATGCTAATCATCTGCATGTCAGCATAGGAATTGTGAGCATGTTAGCATGCTGATGTTAGCATTTAACTCAACAACAACCTCACAGCTGCAAGCATGGCTATAGACTCAAAGAACCAGATATTTTCTAACACAGTTTTTTATCTTTTATACTGATGACTCAACAAGTAGAGTTTCATGTCCATCCAAGCTTTGAAGTGCTCCAACTGTCAGTCACCTAAAAGCCTGTCTAAATTGAGCAAAAAACACATATGGTTCTTTAAGATTCAATACCTCATTAATGCATCAGTGATTCAGTAAATCTGCAGTCAGACTCACATCAAAAAAAACTTTGAGAGCTGCAATCTTTGTGTAAAAAACAGTTTTGACTTTGTATTCATAGAGAGAAGTTGGGTTTTTTCCTTTTCACTTCAATGCATGAGTTTTGGAGCAGCATCTAGTGGACATTAGAGGAACTGCACCAACACTCAGATGGGGAAGGTCTTGAGTCATTGAGAAAAATTAATGAATGAAAGGAAAAAAAGAAATGCATTCTGTGAAATGTGTGTATTTGCATTTATTTCCTAATTTTATCCCTCCTATTCTATTTATCTCTGCCCACTTTCCTCTTCCTCTTTAACCTCCATATATCCTGACCATCCTTCTCTCTCCTTGCTTTCCTAATTCCCTCACAGAATTCCTCCCTCGATCCTTTATTCTGTCATGTGTTTTTCTGCCCTCCGCCTGTCTCATATTTATTCACTCACAAGCAGGTTTCTAGGCTTCAGTGTGACCAGATATGAATCAGAATTAGACTCCATTCTATTAAGGAAGCATAAACAGAGAGCAGAGTGAGTCACTGATGAAACCTGAACTCCGGCTGCAGTCTGTGTGTCTGTCAACACTGAACCGGCTGGGTCAACACACAGGATCCAAACTTAATCCTGCACTAATATTTCATATTCCAAATGGACTTAATGTTTGTATGTTTTTCTGCACAGTGATGGTTGCTGAAATTTAACACCAGACTAAACCATAGTCCAGTTTTGCCATAGTTTTGATTGAATATAACTGATGAAAGTAAAGCTGCTCTTAAATGACCAGAATAAGAAAAGAAAAGAGCATGATACAAGTGTTTATTTGAAGCTGTCAATCAAAAACACATCC